AGTGTTCAAGACAATAAGAAACACTACCTGCCAAAAAAAAAAAAGTGAAGTTTTGTTGAAATCGGTTGAAAATGTAGGAAATCCGATCCCATATATAAACAAACACACACACACACACACACACACACACACACACACACACACACACACACACACACACACACACACACAACAACCTGGGTTTTATAGTAAGTATAACTCGATATGAGTTGTCCCCCCTTTCATTCTCGCGATGCCTGTTAATCGTGTTTACAAATTGATTTCGTGCAAAAACAATTATGTTTCCAATTTTTGGCGCTGTCAGAACCACCGCAATGTAATTTTACGTAGTCCTGTGAAGTTTTGTTGAAAAATGTAGGAAATCCGATCCAATATATAAACGTATAGACACACACACACACACAACCTGGGTTTTATAATAAGTATGATTACAAAATAAACTGCTCCTCCTGAATATTTTATATTCACTGCGAAACAAAAGGATTATAAAATATTACAAAATAAAATAAAGTGCTCCTCCTGACAAACCCAATGAATAAAAAAAAATCCTACAAACTCTATCATATCTAAATTTAAAAGAATTTATCTAAATTCAGCATAAAATTTGTTACTACTACATCTAAAACAATAAAAGACTTGGTCAATACGAGACAAAACAATAAGCTAGAACTTGAAGGAGGAATTTACTCGATCGCCTTTAATAATTGTCCCCAAAAATATATCGGAGAAACCTCAAGGAATCCAAATAAAAGAGTATATGAACGAAAAAGGGATATTTTACAAAACAATACATGAAATGCTTTGGTTGCCCATTGTATCGAGACTGACCACAATTTTGACATAAAAATGCTACTCTGATCAAAGGAGAAAACAAATAGACTTAAATGTCTAGAGAGTGCCTTGATCACAAGATCATCCACAGTAAATTTGTGCTCTGGCTCTTAAAACATTTCATCATTCCAGGTAGTTCGATTATCACAAATGATGGAAATAAGCACAAAAATAGTATAAATGAAATCGGTTAGATTAAAAAATAAAAAGATTTCCAGCATACCTCGATCGTATGCATATGTAGTCACATCAACGTAACAATTTTAGTCTGATGAAGTCCCAAAGGACGAAACGCGTCACACGAAAAACTCTTTTCACTTTGTCATATATATATATATATATATATATATATATATATATATATTATATATATATATATATATATATATATATATATATATATATATATATATATATATATATATATATATATATATATATAGAGAGAGAGAGAGAGGCACGGTGAAGTAGTGGGTAGCGGCTTTGACTGAGTGCTCGGAGAGCCGAGTTCGAATTCCAGTTGAATCCATTACATTTACTTACGTGCTAATATCCTTAGGTAAAATATAAATCTTCTCCCTCTAGCAATGTGTAATTAGCAGGGCAGAGTGGGTTCTATAACCTTGGATGGCAACTGATCCAGGAGAAGGACAACTCTTTATTCAAAACCTGCGGAGGATCGTTTGGGGACATTGTGGGACATAGTGCACCAGGTCTCTGTATTCAGCCCTTCAAAAAGGTGTGGTTTATTCTGCACAAAGCCTTCACCACTATAATTAAATCATATGTGGTGGTGTCTAGCTGTCGGTTGACACTCATACGTCGAATACGATGGGAGAGTCCATTATATATATATATATATATATATATATATATATGTAAATATTTTGTGATATTAGCATTATTTTCGGTATTATTTAAATTTAGTAGTTTCACAATTACTATCTGTATCTGAAGCCAGATAGAATCTGAAGCCAGATAGAATCTGAATTGATCGGGTATTTGCTTTCTGAAATCATTTCTCACTTGAAAATATTTGAAGAAGGAATGAACGGATGAACAGAATAAAAAGATTGATGGGATGTCACGTCTTCTTCTTTTATATGTCGTATCCCTTCGGGACGTAGGCGATCATGGCTCTCCACATTTTCCTATCCCTTGTAGCTTTCAATATCTTTTATCCTTTTGCTACTTCTTCCAAACCCTGTCCTGCCATCCACTTGCTTAACCCTGCTAGGTATGTCACGTGTTGCTTTCCCCTGTTTCTCTTTCCCTCTATCAACCCTGTGAGTATCAGATTCACCAAGCCCTTCTTTCTCATTACGTGCCCCAGAAATTTCAGCTGCCTCTTCCTGATGTTAAATATAAGCTTTTTCCTTGTTTGCAACCTCTCTAAGACCTCATCGTAGCTCATATGTTCGGTCCATGATATCCTTAGCAGCCTTCTGTAGAAGCATAGCTCCGTCGCCTTGAGTCTCTTTTTCATCTTTGAGGAGACCGTCCAACATTCGCTGCCGTTTAAAGAGGAAAGACATCACGTAACAATGCAGTACTCTTTTCTTTGTTACCAAAGAAATCCTCCTGTGTCATAATACTCTGCCTGGCTTTTGGAATGCGTCATAGGCCATCCCAATACCTTATCGGATCTCAGCGTCGCACTTACCATCCTCTATAAGAACATTTCCCAGATATTTAAATTTCCGCACCTGCTTGATTTTAGTGACCCAGCTTTTTTTAAAAACAGATTTGAATAAAAATATCTTGTTAGTTTGGGTATATAAAGTGAAAAAAAAGAAGAAAGAAAAGCCGGAAGTAGAATTTTATGACAGCCAACGAATACCATAATTTATCTGAAGTTGGATATTAAGTTTTTACTGCCGAATCGAGCAACCGAATTAAACTCGGCATAACAAAGATGGAGGCATTAGATGTGCACACAAGATTCCAGCACTCTTTTTTAATAACCAGAATTTGACTAAATAGTTGAAAACCGGTTTCCCGCCTACGAGTGCCACATATATTAAAAAGGTTCTACGATCGTTGCCTGTCTGCATCTGATATTTTAACAACAAACGTTAAATCTGATTTCATAAAACGTATGGGTTTAGAAAAATCGAAATAGCGCCTATGGCAAACACTGAAATTGCACACCTCTTGGGACAGGATGCCGCCAATCTTTTAGACAAATTTAGCATAATATCAACTCAAAAATACAAGTCAAGCGCGTTAAACTTTTAACGCCTTCAAAACGAAACTGCTCTTTTTACCTTTCTAAGAGAAATCCCTATTTACCTTCCATCAGCATACCTAAAGCTAACCCCCATTAGATTAACTCCTTTTGCCGTTTCGACTTGACGTTATCTACATAAGGTAGAACGAGTATATTGAATCAAGGGTTAGATCTGCTGCTAGTTGATTCCCTGACGTACGAGACAATTTTTCTAGCTAGAATCTACCTCGCAAGTTTATGAGTTTACTATTTGGTGGTGCATCGAATATTGCTGCGGCATTTGGTCTGTTGCTTCTCTTATATATCTAGAGATGCTTGATAAAATCCCAAGAAGAATCTTCAACGTTACCGGCACTAACCTGGCATCTCGGCTTCAGTTAATTTCCCACCACACTAACGTAGCTTCACTTTTGAGGTTTTTTTTTATAAATATCTTCACGGAAATTGTTCTGATGAGCATTCCTCGTCTGTAACTCAACTTCTTGAATTTAAGCGCAGTACTAGATTGGCAGTGAGGTCTCGTAATCTTACTACTGAAATTACTAAATGTAACCATAAGTTCTATGCTAATAGTTTCTTCTCCTCACACTTCTCACTCGTGGAAGTCTTTCTTGCCTTCTTGCTTTCCTGTTAACATTCGATCTTCAACGATTTAAAAGCAATGTTAATCAGCATCGTGAATCTTGTTCTTTTATTCTCATCTCTTTTCAATAACCTTTTCTCAGTTTATTCCACACTCAGTAACCCCCTTGCGTCTTAGTGGCTTTATTGCCTTGCCTGGGGGTGGGGGAATAATAAAAACTAATAAATTGTTTACCCATAATGATTAGTTTAACAATCTGTCTCTTCTAGCGTTACTAGTTTTGTATAATCAGAGACGATGAGGCACGGTGGAGTAATGGATAGCGGCTCCGATTGAAGAAGCGGAGACCCGAGTTCGAATTCTAATCCAATCCATTACATTGACTTACGTGCTAATACCCTTGCGAAAGGTGGGAGTCTTCTTCTTCACTTCCCAGCTATGGGTAAATAGCGGGAAGCAACTGGTCTACCGCAGAAAGAAATGGCAACCTACTGCGGGAAAAAAACTGCCTCGTCAGTCATGTATCACGCGTGGCACATAACTATGATCAAAGACAGATTATCATCTGAAAAGAATTCTTTTTCAATAAATGAGGATAGCTTGTTAAACGGTTTCCCAGGGCAGGTGTTATGCTCGCTATACTTAAGATCCCCTACTGCGTGAATTTTAAATTAGAGTTTATGTCATTTTGTTGGGCATTTTGAAATCGGTTAAATACTTGTAGGCAGCTGTTGAGAAAAAAAAAAAAATTCGATTTTTCTCCAAAAATATTTTTTTAATGGCATGTGGATCTAAATTTGGCAACTTTTCCAAAACCAAAATAAAAATAAAAATCCCCATCCGCCCCCACAAAAAACAACAACAACAACAAAAAAACAAAAAACAAACAAAAAAAAAAAAAAATAAACAATATAAAACAAAATAACGAAACACTCAACAATTTTTCACCCAAACATTCAGAACTAAGATCAGATCATTATCATCTTCAGATGTTTTCACACATTCGGTCAACTTTCTGCACACGAACGGAACAAAGATATTCAGTTATACGCATCTTTCGATACATGATTGACGAGGCAGATTTTTTCCCGCGGTTGGTTGCCATTTCTTTCTGCTGTAGACCAGTTGTCATCCAAGGCCATAGAGACCCGTTCTATCCTGCAATTTACCCACAAGGAGAAGACGAGGTTTCATACCTTTCCGAAGGGTATTAGCACGTAAGTGAATGTAATGGATTCGACTGGAATTCGAACACCGATTCCTCAATCCGAACCGCTATCCATTACGCCACCGCCGATGAATATAGAAAGAGTCACACCGGGGGTTATTAAACAGTAGCTTTCAGTAGGTAGGAAA